TTTTGTGAATGAGTCACCTGTTTTCTTTTTTCAGGCCACGTATAGCCTTGTAGATCCTCTCCATGGACTGTATCTCTGGCCCTAACTTTCTACTGACTACCACATATTGGCTAGCTATTTTACAGAAATTTTACATTGGTCACTAAAGGGACTGGTAAGAAAGGCTCAGCACACTTCTTCTTGCTGGGAGAAGGAAGTGGGTATTGTTGCTCAGAGCTCTGTATCCATACTGTTGCTAGGAAAGCTGGGGGGAGAAGTACATTCTGAGGGATGAGTCTAGCTGACTCTACATACATATTTCTTATCTGGCTTATTATAAATAATGGCTCTGAAAGGTGTCACTGTCATTTTCAGTTGAGTCAGGCAAAACTGGGTAATAGAATTGTATATTGGTTTGTTGAGTGACTGAAACTGTTCTTTATTACTATCTCAGCAAAAAACAAAAACAAAACCTTTTTTAGGCATTTGGGAAAATATATAGGTTTGTCAACAAAAGACAATGATTGTTTTAACCCTAAGCTATAATGGCCTTTCTTAACATCTTTTCAAAGGCACAGACCTTAAGCTGTTCAAGGCCTAATTCTGGAATTTCGAGACTACCACTCTTTATCCAACTCAAGACGGGTGAGTCCCAGGTTGGTCAAAGGGTTTGTAATGGGAATGTTTCTGTTGGTCTCTTACAGTACAACAAACACCTCTTCGTGCACATTGGGCATGCCAACCATTCTTACAGTGACCCGTTGCTTGAATCAGTGGACATTCGTCAAATTTATGACAAATTTCCTGAAAAGAAAGGTGGCTTAAAGGAATTGTTTGGAAAGGGCCCTCAAAATGCCTTCTTCCTCGTAAAATTCTGGGTGAGTAAGACCTTGCTATGACTCTCGTGGTTTTTGTCTAAGTGGTTGTGTTCTGTACATGAGCACAGTGCAGCACACCTGGCCGTGGATTTGAGCCAATTACGCCTTCATGTACATCTGCAGAATTGCCAGGGGATCACAGGCTTGCACTTGTGCAGCTGGCCATGTGGTGCTTCCCTCAGTGCACCAGGAGGCACCTCCTGTCCTGCCAAAGGGCAAGAAAGAAGGCAGCCTCTTTGGGCTTCAGAGGTCGCTCATGCCATGGCAGGAGGCCTCACACATGGCTGAAATCACAATGGAAAACATAGGCCACTATCCCCTCTTTTCTGTTTCTTCCCCCTCCATTAAGCAAAGTGACCTGTAAATTCCACTGAAGCATAGGATCCAAGGCAAAGAAGGAGCTACAATGAAGATAAAGTTGTATGTCGAGATTTTATGGGTGTCAGAGAGGATACAAAATGGTTTTGTCCAGTATATACCTCACTGCTATTTTTAAAACTACAAGGGCACGTT